AAATACGAACTCAACGACACCAAAATCGGCTCAATTCGAGCCCAAATGAGTCCAAATCAAGCACCTGAAGTGCTATAAGAAAGTTCAAACCATAATTTGAGTTAACAAACGGTTTTCAAATATGAAATTCTTATAATCAAATCTAGAGGCTCGATGAGACGAATCCAACGAGCCCAAGATCGCTGAATTCCGACATCATTAAGACCTTCAAATGTCTGACGAACGGTACACGATCAAAGGATTCAATATCGGTCGTCCATCTGACCACTCCCTATTTACACCTGATCTCTCATCTATTTACAAGCCATGCCACTCCATAATATCTATAAATAGACCCCTCATTTCTCATGAGAGAGGACTCAAGAAAGAAGAAGAAGAGAAGGATTGGAGGGAAGAAACAACTCCACGACCGCCGCCAGAATTCTGCTCGACGCCTGAGTGATGCTGGAATTATGCCCGATGCCCGAGTGACTTTGGAATTCTTCTCGATGCCCTAGTGATATCGGAGTTCTGCCCGACGCCCGAGTGACGCCGAAATTCTGCCTGACGCCTGAGTGACGCTGGAATTCTACCCGACACCCGAGTGAGTGACGTCAAAATTCTGCCCGATGCCCGACGCCAGAATTCTTCTCGATGCGTGAGTGACATCGAAATTCTTCCCAACACCCAAGAGACACTAGAATTCTACCTGACGCTCACGTGACGCCAGAATTTTGCCTGATCTCCAAGTGACGCCAGAACTCTGCCCGATGTTATAACTAGATTTCAATCTATAAGTGATTCACTGTAATCGTCCTAAATTTTAAGGACGAGTCAGCCTCTTGTATCTCGAACAAACACTAGAGGAACTTTTTCAACTGGGTGTGGCCCTATGATTTTTTTCCTTTTTAGAGTTTTCCACGTAAATCTTTGTGTTATTTCATTTCCCGTTTGTGTGCTGGATATATGTACAACGCTGAGACGTAAACTCTCTAACTCTATCGCCGCGTATATTCTAGTTCGCAACAATGCTAAAACAAGATATAGTTCAATTGCAAGGATATAAATATTTTGGTAAATAGTCACATAGCAGTTCACCCACATGTATTTCTCTTAGATATGCATAAAAAACTTTAAATGAAGTTAAAAAGCTCATCCTCATTATTTTCATCTGTCACAACTTGACCGATATGACCCAATACTATACACAGGTCATACTCCGTCCAATTGTGACTTGACTGACTTCAAGATCTGGTTTGAGAAGTACTAAAATAAAAATTCTAATTCATATGCTATATAGAACCACTATAAAATGAAATATAAAATGGAAGACAACTAAATCTCAAAATGATTTTCTGTACATCATCCAAATAATATATAATATGAAGTCTATCTACAACAATGCTTGGAAATAGAGATAATAACAATAAAAGCCAAACTTGCAAAAGTCTAAACTTATAAAAATATATCTATATCCCATATCATAGTATGCTATCCAAAATTATTCAGCTCATTCTTTACCATTCTCCAAGCCTAAAAATAGAAACAAAGCTAGGAATGAGCTAAAATGACTCAGTAGGCTAGCACAGTCTAAAATAAAATTCAATAACTGAACGTAAAATAATTGATAATACTATGATATAAAATTACTGTACAAGAAACTGAGACTGAAACTAAAGCTGAAACTAAAACTAAATTTATTGTAAATAGATATTCATTTTATCAGAATGATTTTCAACCCAAATTTTATATATCTTTATAGCTTCGTTAACAAAATCTCACCTTACTGGCCTACATGCCTCGGTATAATAGAATTCCACCTCGATCGCCCATATATGCAGGCATAATTGAATCCCACGTCATTCACCCACTATCATATGCATAATAGAATTCCACCTCATTCTCTAACTAGCATCGACATAACATCAAATCACATCACATCATATTTCTTATATATTTTTTTATACATTTCATTAATTAAAGAATAATTAGATTAAGTTAAAAAATTATCAAAATTTTACAATGATAGGCAACAAAAATACTACTTAACAAATTTTCATTGTTTCAAAATATATTCAAATTATCAGAGATTTTGTAAAACATTATTCTGAATCTTTAATTGAACTGAAATACTATTTTAGCTGTCAAAATAAAATTTTGAATAAATAAAATTTTGAAATCACATAAGAAAAAAATTTAGAATATACTCAAAATGTTCATAGTTTACATCTCTATAACATATAAAAAATTATGTGATAAAAGTTTTACCAAAATAAAGTTATCCTCATTTCTTAGTAACATAAATAAAAATTTGATCAGAAAAATATCAAAAACATCAAATTATCAAAAACTAAAGTAGGCATAATTTAACCTACCTTGAGATGAACAAATTTCTTTGCTGGGCCAGCGTACGAAAATGACTCTAGGACTGTCAAACCCTAACTTTTTTTTCTCTTCTCTTTTCTTCACTTAATTTCCAAAAATCTTCTATGTTAATCCAAATGTAGAAAAGAGATTAATGTCTTAAGATATAAAAGTGATTTTAGATTAATTTATAAAATAATATAGTAGTAATATTATTCTAAGATTTTTAGTATATAATTCATATAAATTTTTTAGGGATTAAAAAATTATAGAAAAATATTCATAAAATAACTAATTTTTAAAAAAATAAATTTGATGAATCTGATTTTCAAAAAAGACACCTAACAATCCTAAAACCCTCATTTGTATTGATGATGTGCTAATTTCATAAGAAATTACTCTAGTGCCCAAATTTTTTGAAAAAAATAGTAAGACTAAATATAATAATATATAAGTTATGGAGAAGACGGTTTTTGATTTGGACTTATAATGAAGAAAATATTTTTTGAATTTTGTAGATAAAAAAATATCTTTTATAAATTTTTGAGTTATAACAATCCATCCACCATAAAACAAATATCATCTTTAACATTTTCAGACCAAAATAAGTTAAAATAAATCTTTATATGGCTATCTCATCTTAGATTCATTCCCTCTAGTAGCTCCTCTAGCAGTCCTATGCTTCTAATGCAACTTAACCATCATAATTTATTTGGTCCATAATTTTTTGACATCATAAGTGAGAGTCCTAGTTGGCTCTTCTCTATAGTGTAGGCTTGGATGAACCTCAATATCATATATAGATAATTTTTTCCTAAAATCAGATACCAACTTCCTTAAAAAAGATACATAAAATATATTGTATATATCTAACATATAATTGAATAATAATAACCTGTAAGCAAAACTATCATTCCTCTTAAAAATCTAAAAATGTCTAATGTACCTTGAACTTAGCTTATTGATTCTTCCAAATTGGCTGACACCTTTCATTCGGCTAAGTTTAACA